TCATCGTTTTTTTGTAGGTCGCCGATGTCCACCCTTCCTTATCACTAGTAGATGCATCTTAGTTGCTTGCCCCCGGTGATGGTTGTGTAGGAGGTGCTGTGTGACTTGAACATTGACAGGAATGGTCATGCATGCTTCGGAGATGCACAGGATCGAGTGATCCAAACACGATAGTAGTAGTGTGTGCCGCAACCGTGTCTTTGAGGTCAAGCTCGATTTTCCCTTGTTGTGCTAGCTTCAGGATGAGATCTTTCAGTATGAAGCATTTTTTCCGTTGGATAACTTATGAAACGGTGGAATTTACAGTACCTTGGACTATCAGTACGATTCATCTCTTCTGGCCGTTTGCACTCAAGTAGGTCGATCACCTTTTTGTTAAGCAAGTCTTTCAACAAGGCAACCATATCAGAGTAGGGGAATGGATAAGTCTTCTCCTCGAGCTCATTCAAAGTACGTCTACACATCTCTTGATTACGAAAAGCTTTGGCTTGAATCGCCTTGCCTCGTGTAGAGATTTTGACGAGAGTTGTGTTGACCGTCATTGCTTCCTTGGTGGATTTCCACGCAGCCTTCTCCACCTTTGTCCCAAGAGCTTTGTCGTTCTAGTAATCGACGATCGGTTCTTTCTTCCCATGATGGGCGATGCTCAACTCCATGTCATGGGCATGGGTGGCTAACTCCTAAAAGGTCTGTGGTTTGATGCCTTGAAGGATGTAGTGTAATCCCTACTGCATGCCTTGAACACACATCTCGATCGAGGAGGTCTTCGAAAGTCTGTCTTTGCAGTTAAGACTTAGAGTGCGTCATCGGTTGATGTAGTCCACGACTGGCTCATCTTTTCATTGCTTCGTACTTGTCAGCTCTAACATGCTTACAGTGCGGTGGGTGCTGTACAAGCGATTAAGGAATTCTCTTTCCAATTGCTCCCAGTTGTTGATAGACTCAGGCTCTAGGTCCGTGTACCACTTAAAGGCGTTTCCTTTCAACGAGCGCACAAACTGCTTAGCGATGTAGTCTCCCTCTGTTCCCGCGTTGTTGCAAGTTTCGACGAAATGTGCAACGTGCTACTTTGGATTTCATTTTCCATCAAACTGCATGAACTTTGGTGGTTGATAACCCCTTGGCATCTTTAGGGCATCAATCTTCTTGGAGTAGGGTTTCGAGTAGAACAAGGAGGTATGTGAGCTCCATTCGTACTGCGCCTTGATGGTGTTAGTGATCATCTTTTTGTAGCTGCTGGATAGAAAAGAGATCCCATGAGTGCCGCTGCTTGGTCTGGCTCCGGCTTCACATCGATTTTCTCCACCTGAGGCTCCTCTTCTTTGCCAGCTCCTCTCTTTAGTGGATCATCCTCTGAGTCGGGGTTATCGCCGTTCTGTGGCCCCAGTTGGTTGACGAGTTCAGCAATTTGCAAGTCTTTTTCTTCCACAGTTCGGGTTAACCTTGCGATTGCTTCATTCATCTAAGCCAGTTGCTCATCGATTGAAGTTGCTCCAGAGGTCATGACTTGCATGGCTGAACTGCCTCTTGAATCGGCATCGGAGAGCATGGATTCAGAGTATTTCCTTGGGCTTTCCCCCTTGGTGCCCTTAGTGAGGCTAAGGTGATCACAGACTCGTGCTTTGGGTGCTCTTGTTCCCTTGACAGAGTTGATGCAGAGGTGAAATAGGCGGCAGAAGTAGCTATTGCCTTGCTTTGAGTCGTGATGCCTAAAGTGACACCACACTTGCGACGAGGACGCTCTTGTTCTTTGCGCCGGTTGCGGGAACAGTTTGAGCCTGTCTTGATGCCATTGATTTTGGAAGTGTGCTTGAATTTCTTGAACGAAGAAAGAGATGAGAGGTAGAGATGGTCTCACTGGGCGTGCCAAATTTGTAAACACAAAATTTTCCTACGACAAACGAGACAAGAACACGTGTACAAAATAATATTTTGTATATTTGATGATTTTGGGTTACAATCTCTCTCAAATTTTGATCATCTGATTCGATATCCGTAGGGTATTGATTTGTGGATGTGGGATTGATCCAAATGGCTGTTAGGCTTGATCTAAGGATGAACGTTCTTCAAGGGCCGTGGGCTTGATCTTGAAGGTGGATTTGAGCGGATCTTCAAGGAGTCGTTGGGGCTTGATCTTAAGGATGAGCGTTTCTTCAAGGGCCGTTGATGCTTGATCTTGAATAACAGTGATGAACAGATCTTCAAGGGCTTTTGGGCTTGATCTTGAAAAACAGTGATGAACGGATCTTCAAGGGCTTTTGGGCTTTGATCTTGAAGAACAATGATTGACGGATTTTCAAGGGCTTTTGGGCTTGATCTTGAATAACGGTGATGAACGGATCTTCAAGGGCTTTTGGGCTTTGATCTTGAAGGACGGTTGGATGTGTGGATTTGTCGACATTGTTGATCCAAAGGGCCGTTGGGGCTTGATCTTAGGATGAACGGATGATGACCGATGAACACTTTCTTCAATAGTTGTCGGGGCTTGATCTTGGAAGAACGATGAACAAAGAACGAAGAGGGCTTTCTTGATTCTTCAGGAACCTGGATGCTTGAGAGCTTCGGAGTTTCAGAGCTTCAGAGCTTCAAGGTTTTGGTGTAATATGAATTGATCATCTATTGGTCTTGGATTGGTTATGAATTCCCCCTAAAATGAATGAAATGACTTCTATTTATAGAATTTTTCAAGGCCTAATTTTGAATATAATATGCAGATGAAAATAAATCGTTTCTGCCAGGTGTTGACACGTGTCCTGCTTGATGATTTTTCCGATTTATTTTGATTTTTCGTTTAGTCACACGCTACGTGTAAAATTTATGACACGTGAGCGTTGAAATAGTAACTATTGGTCAACATTTATTTTCATCGAAATTTCAATATCTACAGTGACCACTATAAGCAGATTGTAGAACCCATAATAATTGTGATGTGCTTATAATATTTCCATACATATATTTCAAATATATATATATATATATATGTTGATCTGATTAAATTTATAAATTAGAACCCTATTGTGAATAATTATTTAGCTGTAACATTTATGTCAATTCATACGAACTTATCTATGGAGTTGCTTGTTGGTCGGTTGGCACCAAATGGCAAGAGAGGTTCATTCATTTCCCTCCCAGTAAGGCCAACTCATCCTAATTAAAAATCGCAGAGAAATCAAACACAAGATTTCGGATGAAACTAATAATTCTTAACTACTTGAACTATAAATTTCGTATTGTGTTTTATTTTAAATAAATATATACATACATACATACATACATACATATATATATGTACAGGGAGCTTAAGGGAAGGGATTCCCATTTTTTCAAAAAAAATGGGGACACGCTCCCCACCGTTAGATTGACTTTAATGAAATTGTGTGGTTGAGATTAAAACACAGGCCATAGAATCTCAACCACAGGATTTCATTTAATTCAAATCCAACGGTGGGGAGCGTGTCCCTATTTTTTTGAAAAAATGGGGATCCCTCCCCTTAAGCAATTCCTATATATGTATATGTATGTATGTAATGCAGAAGAATCGGGTTCCTGTTTGTTAAGTGGGGGCTCTGAAATTACTCTACCTCTCAACCCTAAGGCAAACTCGTCATTTCGGATACCACTCAGGGGCAAACAAGTAAACCGGCAAGCGGCCTCCAAAGCAAACCCTAAGGCCCTGTTTGGCATATTATATAAGGCATCAGATAGTACTAATAATACAGAATACGATGTTTGGTGTCCATTTGAATTAAATAGCCACCGGATTAAATAATCCGGCCTACCTTTTTTATCCGGTCTTTACCCGCTTGCTTATACCGTTGAAAACCACGGTACAATTTAGTCAGGCTGAAATCCCTCGCTCTCTCCTTCCTCTCCAGACGCACTCTCGGTCTCCAGACGTTCTCTCTTCCTCTCCAGACGCACTCTTGCTCTCTCGTCTGAATCCCAGGTTCGTCTTCTCAAATTCTTCTTCTTCGTTTGAATCCCAGTTCGTCTTTTCAATTTTCTTCTTCTTCCCAGATCCGCCCTCCCTCTGTTCTTGGAAAATATTATTCTTCTTCCCAGATATAGCTCCTCGCGAGCATGTCAGCCTCAGACGTTTGGATTGCTGTGGCCCGATCTCAACGACAGATTGTTCTACAACGACGTCGTTCGAGCCTCCAATTCCGGTACACTCTCTCTCCCTCTCTTTAAAATCTCCCTAGGAAGATACTGTTTTTTCCTACTATTTCTGTTTTTTTTCCTGCATTTTCTCGGCAGCCAAACAGCCTCCAAGCCTAGAACTCGATTGTCGATGCTTTCTTCGATTTTAACTTGTCCGAATTTGACTCCGATTGTTGGTGTGCATTACAGAACTGACACTGATCGAGTTCTACTCTAGCAAGTACAATAATTCAGCTCCATTGCAAGGGTAATCAGCTTATACCAAATTGCATTCCAACAATTTAAATTAATTTGATTTATTTACTGATTTATTTTTGCACTTTAAGCAATAAAAAAATGTTTAATTTGAAGAACAGATGAAAACTTTGTACTGATAATTGAGCAGTTTCTTCGTGAACCTTTTTTGTTAAAATTTTTGTTCTCCCCTTTTCTTATCCGGTTCAGTACCAAACATAGTATAAATAATACGGTTATTAGTCTGATATTGCACCAAACGCTCGACTAATTTAGTCAGTACTATCCGGTGACTATTTTTTCTATCCCACAAAAATAGTCAGTACAGTCCGAGCTACCAAACCTAAATATTTTCCCAAACCCCCCTCAGCCTATAAATAAGTCACGTTGCGCCTCAAACCCTACGCTTTCATTTCTCACTCCCATAACCTATCCTCATACCCACATAACCGTTTACCCGTTAGGTAATTGCATAAACGGTTATACCCATACTCATACCCGTTTATAAACGGTTAACCATACTCATAACCGCATACCCATTTAACTGTAACAGTTTAATACTCGTTTACCCATTTATCCTTTTTAACCCGTTTATCTTTTTTTTTTTACCATTACCCTTTTTTCACCTGTCTACATGTTTTTTAACAACATGAAAATTTAAAAAAAAATTGTCATAATTTTCTTTTTTTTTTTTACAATTAAACACCATTATAGGTACATTTATCATACATTTCCATATTTTAATTTTTAAAGTCCTTATATCATTCCAATAATTGAAATAATAATTTACAGACGATATTTTTAAATGTTATCAATGAAGGTAAATATAATGGGGTGTGTTATCCACACACCCCATTTTACTTCTCACACACCCCATTTTACTTCTCACACACCCCTTGATAATTTCTGTCCGTTGATTTTCTTCAATTCATCTGATCTGACGGTCGAAAATTAAAAAAGTGTATGAGAAGTAAAATGTGGGTGTGTAGATATCACACCCCAATATAATATTTGCTAAGTATTATTGGGTTACAAAAATTGTTCAGAAGACATTTCTGTCAAAGCATTTCTGTCAATTTTACGGTTACCCACATTATTGGGCATAAATTACACTTATATGGAACCGGATCAAAATAAATCCAATTTGTTCACATTGATTTGAAAAGGTAAAACGTTTGTTTCTTGTGATTTGGACGACATGTGAACGGTAACCATGAGATTCTCATCCATTTTTTCATGATCAATGATAACCAGGTAATTGATCAAAGCTAGCTTGAGGGCTCACTTAGTTCCTTCCTTCTACGTATATATAGGTAGGCTATGAAAACACAGTAATGTCGGCGGATACCAAATGAAACATGATTTGAGAGAGGCGGTGGATTAATATTTGGACCACGCCGCCATGAGGCCAGGCAGGGCTGGCAGCTGAGGCGGGTCCTTTGGCATTTGGGCACTGTAAATAATGTAAGAGATATTTTGGATGTGGTCTCTAATTTTTAACATTCTTTGATTAAAATCTTAATAGTATTCAAAGTTTGATCAATGTCCCTTGATTTTGTATATTTCATTATATTACTATTAATATTTATAGTTTTATAGTTTTGACATTAATTATTTAATATTTTATGAGATTTATAATCCTATAAATTTAAAATCCCTAATTATAATACTATTAGAAACAGTTACAATAAAAAAATTCAAACATTTTGATTGAATAAATGGATAAAAATTATGTAAAAATAAGAAATAATGAATAGGAAAACTAATGAAAAGGGTTTGAAAACTTTGAGTTTTAACGATAATGACAAAATAAAGGGTAAAGTGAATAGTACCAGATTTGACTTTTTCGTGTAAAAATATGGTTTTTCGTTAAAGTGAACAGTACCGCAGACTTTTGGTTAAAAAAACTCCCATAATAAATGGCAAAAGAATGTATCCATAGTGTTCAAAAAATTGGTACATTTCACATATAACAAAGTGGTACACTAATAAAAAAAAATGGGTACATTAGAAATAAATTAGGGTACAGATAAAAGATTAAAAATTATGAATACAAATGATTTTTTTAAAAATATAGGCGCTAAAAGAAATTAATACATGGGTACAAAATAAAACTAAAAAGAAAATACTACAAATTTTAAAAAAAATGTTGCAAATTAAAAGTGAGTACAAACTAAAAATATAAATATATGATACAAAGTTTAGGTATAAAATATAAATATACCATATGTAATTTTTCTATCATTGATTAAATATACAATGTCACGTGACGATATACATATGGGTACAAACACAAATAAAACTTTAAAAAATATGGGCACAAAACATAAATATAAATATATATTTATGCATAAATAATTAAAACTTTAAAAGTGGGTACATGACACACCCCGACCAAGGTCAAGACATGCTGGCCGTCACGTGAGAGTGAGGTAGCCATGTGCACAATGCGGAAGCAATAAAGATAACAAATATACGAATAATTAAAAACCACATTTCTAGAGTGCACTATTAGCAGGAAGTGATAGGCGTTAGTTATAACCGTAAACACTCCTAATTAGAGCATAAAAAGTTCAGGTGCAGTCCAGTAGGACAAGTACTAGTTACACAGTACCAAGAATGTCCTACTATTAATCAAATAGGTCAGAACTGCCAACGATCCCGAGCCACCAACAACAAACTTACTTAGAACCTGAAGGGGCGCAAAACAGAAAACGTGAGTGGGCAAAAATAAATGTTTTACAAAATCATTTCATTTATCAATATACTAACCTCTCGCTGTAAAACATGTATAATTTTCCCAGAATCAAAATATAAGCATATACATATATATATATATATATATATATATCTGAAATCATATCAATTCAGTTCATGCTTCACATAATCATTTTCATATGTATGCCATGCCAAAATGTAACAAAGTAAACAATCCATGTAATAATAATTTCATAGAAATATGATATGTTAGCCGGAACTTCTATGGTAGTTTGTACGGCTGAATTCATAGCTCAAACTCAATCTAGCCGGAGTCACTACTATGACCTATACGGCAATATACTACACATAAGTCGGAACCCCTAGACAGGGTTTGTACGACAAGATTGGGTGTAATATAATTATACTCAACTCTATTCTCTCATAATAGCCGGGCGATAAATCGCTAGTCACCTACGAGTCGGAACTATGAATAAGGTCTGTACGACAAGACTGACTGTGCACTTAAGTTGGATCCAATATGAGCATATAGTGCAGGAGGTGACGTAAATAAACAGGCATGTACTTCTCATATCTGGCTAAATCATTTTCACCCTAGGTGCAGTTTTATGAGCTCAACATTATTTAATCACATATCACATCATCGATAATTTACATAACCAAACGTAACTTACCTGTGCCTCCACAGCACCATATAAATATATATATATATATATATATATATATATATATATATATATATATATATATATATACAACCATGGAATGTATGTTCAGGATATAAAAGTATTTGGCATATAAATTTAAGGCATACTTTCCTTAAAACGCATTTCTGGGAAATATATTAAGTATATAAGTATATACTGAAAACAAAAGCTCACTCACTGATATGTTGACGAGTCGTAACCCCCGAGTCGTCCCTGGATACGCTCGTCCTCGGAATAAGTCTCACCTATATGCGAATTAACTATAAAAACGTTATTTTAAAGCACATAGACAAGACTAGCTAATAACTTCTCATACATTGCTCAATTTTTGGTATTTGAATATACCAACGTGACTTACACAACCTCATGAACATCGTGATATTTTTAGAATAATTTTCCTATGGATCACGCACCCTCACGTGCCGGGAAAGGCACGGCCTCACGCGTCCCCACGCGCATCACCTTCAACCTCCAGACGCCGGAACTGTGTCACCGGCACTGGATTCTGGGCAGACCTGCAACTGCCAATTTCTCACTCGTTTTTGCACAATTTTTCACATATTTTATATCAAATTGAAGCTTTTAACTTGTAGAACACGATCATAATAATATAAAAGTTCTAAAAGTCACGGAATCTCACCGGAGAATTCCAAGAAAACCGGCCAAACTTCGTCCACACGATCCCGACGTCCAAAACCTTCAAACGAAGCACTCCGAGCTTCCTTGGGACCTCACTAAGCTTCCTACAAGCTTGAAATTTCCAAAAACATGAGATTTAACGTTTGCATGAACAGTACCCCAAATCGGGGTTATGGTTTCGACGTGAAAACGAAGCTGTCCTTACCTGAAAACGGTCTAGATGTGTTCCTGAACTTGCAAGGAACACGATGGTACCTTCAACGTCCTCGATCTGTCACGATTCAACGGGTTTTGGTGTTGTCCGTACACAATGCCGAGAGGGAGAGAGAGAAAGAGCATGGGAAGAAGAGAGAGAAGAGAGAGGTGATGTGTGTGGTCCACAACTAGACAACATTCAATCAAACCAAAGTTTTCTTAGTTCCTAAGTGGTTCCAAAAACTTAGGGAAACTCAATTAATCCAATTTCAAATCAAATCACACACCACGCACTTTAACGTCCAAGGGCGAAATTATCATTTCACATCAACGAAAATTAGTTATTCGGGACGGGCTGTGACAATACAAACTAAAAATATAAATATATGATTCAAAGTTTAGGCATAAAACATAAATATACCGTATGTAATTTTTATATCATTGATTAAATATACAATATCACGTGACGGTATACACATGGGTACAAACACAAATAAAAACTTTAAAAATATGGGCACAAAAAGAAACTAATATATGGGTACAAATTAAAAATTAAAAGAAAATTGGTACAAATTAAAAATTATTTGCAAATTAAAAGTAGGTACAAACAAAAAATAAAAATATATGATAAAAAATTTAGCAATAAATATAAATATACTAATTGTAACATTTTTAACATTAAAGGAATATATTTAAAAATAAAAATATTTTATTATTCAAATAATTAATAATGTTATTAATACCCAAGAACTTTGATCAAAAATTGAAAAATGAATATGATTTTAATCAATGAAGTAATAAAAATAAGGGAACTTTAACGAAAAGCTCCCGGTACTGTTCACTTTAACGAAAAACCACATTTTTACACTAAAAAGTCAATCATGGTACTATTCACTTTACCCTT